CCTGCGGTGCACTGATATCTTTGTGATAGTGTGTTGTTTTATTACAGCTGCACATTAATGTCCTCCCTCCTGTGGCCATCTCTCCTTGAACCCCACACCATACACCTTCAGTTTCTTTAAAATCATCCTTGCTCCAAGGACCCCCTGAAGTTTTATCCCTGTTTTACAGGACACACCTGATCCATCAAAAGCACAAAATCAAAGAGAGGGTTAAATCAATGTCCTCATAAAAAAACACCATTGATGCAGTAAGTCAAACCACAAAAAATATAATTATCATTAAAGGGCTTTTGCTTTTAAATCACTTGTTTCAATGTAATTTGGGTTAGAAAAAAAACATGAAAATATGTACAAATTCTAGAAAAGTAATTTTTTGACAGGGTACCAGTTGGGTTTTTTTTATTATAAACATCCATTTATCCATTTTCTGTCACGCCTATCCCAAATGGGGTCACGAGGGGTGCTGATGCCTAGCTCCAGCTGTCTACGGGCGAAAAGGCGGGGTACAACCTAGACAGGTCGCCAGTCCTTCACAGTTATCATAAACAGTTTTTGGAATAAAACAGTTAACAAACTGTACTGTTGTATTTGAATAAATTCTAATTTATTATCTAGGTTATTTGCCTCCCATCGATAGAGGGCTCCTGCAAACATGGTATCATTGGTGAAGGATTTTAGCTTGATAAAAAGCTGGATGTTTCCCCTTTCACTCAAATACACAACAAACTCAAAACTGCTGATTAAGCAGATATTTCGGAATCAGAAAAAGCAAACTAACCAAAGGGAGAAGTGGTTGATCTCTGGACTTAAGTATTAATAATTCCCATTAGTCCAAATAAAGCTTTAATAAAGTGTAAAACATTGTTTGTCACCGTGCCTGATGCATCAGTGTGATATTCCTATCTGGCAAAAACTGGCAGAAATTGTTTCATGGTCACACCTGTGACCACATATAATCTACCTCAGGAGTATGTCAAGCCATCATACAGACCTATGCAATGGGATTTTAAACAATTAGGTGTAACTGTAGCCCAGGTAGTCACTTCCTGTATGTTTGGTCAATAAAGATATATAATGTTTCCTTGCAGTATCTTCAGATTGGTTTGAAAAAAATCTATGAATGGCTCATGTTCAAGCCTCTATGCTTCAGCTGGAGGGAATCCTCAGCTCTGAGACTGCTGCTATAAAGGTTTGACCTCTGACCTCGCTGAAAGAGGAAGGAGGGCGGGCTAAGTGAAAGGAGAATTTCCCCTTTGGGGCCAATAATGTGTCTGGGCATAAGCAGCATCACTGTATTTGACCGTTCTATAGAGCGCATTAACATCAACAAATCAAAATGTAAATTAAGAGAATTTGTAAAACTGCTGGTTCAAAGCTGCTCTGTTTGGGGATTACATTTTTTTAAAACATGATAACGCCTTTTGGAACCCTTTTAAAAATGCTGGCACGTCCTTTTCAATTTGGTTTGTAGTTTATTCTATCCTTCATTTTAAAATTGTGTAAAGTTGCTATTATTGTACGTTTAATCAGTAACAATATTAGGAAATCAATAATTTTTTTTTTTTAAATGTTATCAGGTGAAACATGTTTATTGTTATTATCAGTACTTTCATTAATGTTGTATTATGTATCGCAGCATTGCTAGTTTTAGCCATTTCAACAATGTTGCAAAGTCCATTGCAATTTGTATATTATTATTCACTTATGTATTCATTTCAAATTTATATATGTTTATCTCTTTATTTATGTATAAACACAAATAATAAGTATATTTGAGAAATAACCAATGACAAAAAGAAACATAATGTCCTACACACACACACACATATATATATATATATATATATATATATATATATATATATATATATATATATATATATATATATATATATATATATATATATATATATATATATATATATATATATATATATATATATATATGTGTGTGTGTGTGTGTGTGTGTGTGCGGTATATATATATATATATATATATATATATATATATATATATATATATATATATATATATATATATATATATATATATATATATATATATATATATATGTGTGTGTGTGTGTGTGTGTGTCTGTGGGTGTGTGGGTGTGTGTGTGTGTATGTTTTTTTATATATTGACATAATTCACATTTGATTGGCAATTTTTGCATAGGCAGGTTATTAATGTCAGTATTTGCTCATTCTTTTCTGTCAGTAATATTGTAAAATTTCATGCATGTGTAAAAAATAAAGAAAAAGAAACGCACAAAAGATATTTAGAAAATAATAACAACTGAAAAAAAAACATACTGGCCGGTTGTTGCCTTTTGGGCAGTAAGAGGATAATTATTTCTGAGCCATTTATTTTTTTATCATAATGATTGTGTCACCAGAAGCTTAGTTTTTATCAAGATAAGCGGCGTGACTTTGTGAGCAAACACACCGCAGGAATTGCTTCTACTTTGGTTAGAATTGACAGGCGATTAAAGCGCTTGAAGACCTCAAGACTTGTTCCCTCATGTCCAAGTGTTTATTTGCCGCTCTTCGGGGTTAATTATTCCCATAAACCAGCTCTTGTGGGTTAAAACTGCCTTTGTTGTGCCCCTTTTCTTCAGCACAGACGTTTTTTTTTTCTCTCCACCATCTTGCAGCCAAAACAACTTTTAACAGCCTTCTCTCTCCCCGGTGCCAGTTCCCATTTCAAATTAATGGGAACAAAAAGAGAGTGAGAGAGGAGACGAAAATCACAGCTACAGTTGGGAGGTCACGGAGTTGGCTGCTTTGGTGAGAGGCCAGATATTCCCTAAGTATTATATCTCCTCACAATCCGCTTTTACGGCCTTGTTTTCAATAGAAACCCTTGTTAATTAGAGACGCTTTGAGCAGCCTCGGTAATTGACTGGTGTGGGGCGCGAAGGAGACAGTGGAACATGTACACAGTCTTTGTGTAAACACTTCATAATCTCACCAGGCCTTCAGGGGAAACTATTAACGCACATGGTGTGTTTGCTGTTGTCTTACCAAGAAAACTATCTGCCCATCTGCACAAATATGTCGGCTTGAGACGGGATTCACTAGTTGTATGGTGAATAACAATTGTGCGTCGTTGGAGAAAAAGTTAACAGATGTCCAGCACTCCATTTTTTTTTTTTTTTATCTAAATGAGTCATCCTTTCTTAAAATAGGAATTGAGGAGGTAAGTGAGACACTTTGACAATGGAACAAGACAATTTACATTTAATATTTAATAAATTGTCTTATTTCAAGTGCATACTATCTGAGTATCTTATTTTGAGAGTAAAAACGCTCATTCCATTGGCAAATCATGTTATTTAACCAACTCAAATTAAGAGTAAATACACTTAATTTAAGGATTTTTTTTTACTTATTTCTAGACTGTTTTTGCAGGTTACCTCCAGCTGTATTAAAAACTGCAGGAGGAAATATGCCTTTAATAAGACATCTACTCCTTAAAGTTAAAAACTTTTATCCATGGCTTAATGCTTCAACAAAACTACAACAAAACAAACAAAGAAAAAAACTTCCAAACTGATGCCTCATATGTTGTGTAAATTATGAGTCTTGAAAGAGAGGTCTACAAAAAGATATCATTTGGGAAAAGTTTAGTTTATATATAGTGAGTGTGAGTGCGTAAAATGCATTCAAACTGGGCCAGAGTAAAAAGGCATCCACGAAAATTTCTGTCTAAATCCATAAAAAAAAAAAAAAATAAATAATGAAACGCAAACCTACTTAATAATACTGATGTTTTTCCAAAAAGACGCCGGTTGTTTATTTTCTACAAAGAAATGTCTAAATAATTACTCAATAAGAGGTAGCTATATTTAAATGAATCAATTATTAATTATGAAAAATAATACGATTATTTAAAAATGTGGGGGGAAAAAATCCAAAAATATGAATTGGCATTAAAAATGTAGCTACAAAGTAAAAAGACACAAAGATAGATCTACTGAAATCTTAAAGTGGGGAAAAGTTGGTTGACGTCATTCCAACGGGGAGCGATCTGACGTTTTTGCTGAGGCAAAAGTTTGATTTCGTCTCAAAAATGACAACTTTAAACTTTTTTCCCCAGTCTGCTAAACGTTACGAATAAATTGCTTGAAGAATGAATGTCAAAGATTACCAACTAAAAAATAAATCTGTGAAAAAATGTTTGACTGGTAATGGAAGACATTGCTTTGCGCCCCACAAGCATCTAGGGCTGCAGGCTGGTTGAGGAGCTGAAGGCTTTTCACAGCCGAAGCTGTTTAAACAAAGTGTCTTCTTTCAACGCCAGTTTCCACTTCTGTTTTCTTTCCATCGAACAAAAAAAGGCCCCAATCACGGAGCTTTTGTTCCCCTCAGCTGAGCGCGGAAAGATAAGGTGTCATCACTCCGACATCAAGGTTCTCCCTGTTTGGAAATGCGCGTCTGGATTATGCCCTGGTTTGGTGGCCACATGCCTTCTGTTCCGGCCTCTTGACGCGTGTTGCTTTTGCTAAGTATTAGATGGAGAGTCTCTTTTTCTCTCTTCCATATTTGTCATTTTAACATGATTACTGCGATGAACCTTGACCTAAAGTTAATATGAAAAAAAAAAACAACAAAAAGAAATAAAAACCTCCAATATAATTGCTTATCCCTTAAAATGTTAAATACAATACAACAATGATACATTAATTAATTATCTATTAGATAGATAGATAGATAGATAGATAGATAGATAGATAGATAGATAGATAGATAGATAGATAGATAGATAGATAGATAGATAGATAGATAGATAGATAGATAGATAGATAGATAGATAGATAGATAGATAGATAGATAGATAGATAGATAGATAGATAGATAGATAGATAGATAGATAGATAGATCTATTGATTGAAGTTTTGGTAATAAAGCAATACATTAATGTTGACTTTAAGTTTAAATAAATACTAATGGTCTAGGATCAAATAAATACAGCGATTTTTGTGCGTGGATTCCTTTTTGTTTTTTTATTGGAAACTTTATATGAAACTATATGAGTTGCTTCATTGTACCTCCGGATATCGCAGAGCTTACATGCAGTCTCTTTCCAAATAAAAATGTAAATACTACTTGTTGTCATTGACGTCATATAATAATGTCAAGAGGTTAAGCCTTCATGTCATTGCGGCTCTTATTAGACACGTCAAAATATCAGTCCAAACTCCTTTAAAAACAAAGAAATCGAATTACCAAAGAAAAACAAAAGCAAACAAACAGAAAGACTGCATATGGCTCAAAACCCCAATGTAAACATACAGGCAGGGGAAACCGAGTCTCCTACAATAACAACGGTACAGAATTAAGACACTTTATTCTTATTGTTTTCAACAATATAAGATAGTATGCAGTTACATTCAGAAATACATCCCTTGTTAGTTTTCCCCCCAAATCTATCAGCTCTTTCCTCAAGGGCGCTCAAGCCATTGGTGAGAACCTGATGCCTGCTTGATTAGTTTCTGTAAGTTAAGTGCTTTTTGGCCTACAAGCAAAAAAAAAAATCCCTCAATCAAGAAGATTTTGAGATAAGAAGAGGTGTCTGGAAAAGGTTTTTTTTTTTTAAATGTCAATGGCATACAGAATATTTGTTACGGTGGCTGTGTTTATTTTATTTTTATTTTTTCTTTAGCAGAATTCCAGTCTTTCTTACCGCAAGTGCTTGAAGCTTCGCTCTTACCACCAATTCCCCAGGGGAAAAAAAGTTTTTTTGTCTCCCTTCTTGTGTCCTTTTTTTTTTTTTTTTTTCTAGGAGCCAAGGTCCACAAGGTTAGAAGACATAGAGTTCAGTATAGTGTCATGGTGCACAGAGTGGTGATGGTGCACAGAGTCTGCGCCACCAGGCACCGGGATCGCGCTGGGTCCCGGCGGGGGCGCAAGGCCGTGCAGGGACGGTAAGCCGGGGTTCGGGCCCAGAAGCAAAGCCGGGCTCGGTGACGTGTGATCCGGTGTCCCGGAAGGAGTTTTGTCATCGTCGGAGCTCCCCAAAAGAGTTTTGTTTCCGTTCATTGAAGAAGTTAGTGGGTTGTGACTGTTGCTGTTAGAGTTCTCGCTGTTTTCCCTGCGGAAAAAAGAAATAACTTTTAAATGTTTGCTCGGTGCAAAGTTATTCAACAAACACTTTACAGCAAAGAAAAGTAATTAAATAAAGAAAGAACTTACATATATTTCTTAGTATCTCTAAGAAATATACACATAGCCCAATTCAGATAATTTCTGAAGAGTGTAAAATCGTTTCCATTGCAATTATTTTAGCTTGTTAAAATCTAATTAAATATTAATATTGAAAAATATCATACTGACAAATGTTATTAGAATGGACTTTTATTTTAATTATTTAGTTAGACATTATAAAATAATTGTTTGAAAAGTTAGACATTTTAGACATTTAAAAAATTCAAATTTCTTCTAAAAACATTTCTTCATTAATGTAATGTTTAATGGCAATATAATTATATAAACCGATTTGGGTATTTTTTTTAACACCCTTCCTCCAACTGAACTTAACTGAACGTATGACTGCTGTTAGTTCAGTCAACAGATACTCTACATTGTGTGCAATGTCTAGCAGAAAACTGGAAGACTGGTATGATTACTTTATGTAGAACTATATATATTCTTAGTAAAAGGTAATTTACATTCAGACCTTTTGGTTAAAAGTTTCTAAGTTGAGCTATTTTAGTGAGGGCGAATTTGGTAGCAAGCTGCACCTTAATCCTGAGCCAGTTGTTGACAATAAAAAGCACATCTTAGCTGCGGCTGCAAGGGAAAGAGTGTATCTGCCCTCTTTTTAGAGTAAGTATAAATAATGCATTGACATTTCAGTAAAATTGCACCCTCAGCCAGTATAGCAAGCTCCACCTCTAAAACCCCGAGGAAATCAGTGCCAATGACCTTGATTGACAATTTGTAATTTTATTTTATTTTTTTCTTATTTAGAAACGTTTTATTTAATTATAAATTTAGAGATATAATTGCTAAAGTCAACTTGTAGTATGGAATTATTTATCATTATTTATCTACAGGTAAAGTTTGTTCAAATTAAATTAACATCTCTACAGCAATTATAGCTTAAATTCTAACAGTTTTTATTTTTGTCGGTGCAGATAGGGGATAGTTACTAATTTATAGCATATTTGCAACTTTTATGATTAGCTGTTATGCAGAAAGGGTAATTCGGATCAACTATTAATGCAAAAAAAAAACAGCAATCCAGCCATGCGTGGCTGATAATTAAAGAGTCCATGAAATAATAAGACTCGGTTCACCACGGTGCTGCACGGACTTAAACAATGACAGGCGACCATAAATCCGGTTCTGGGGGGCATAAATCAATAGAGATTTGGAAACGTTTGTAATTTAGGTTACAGGTGGCATGGTATGTGAGCGCTGGACCCTTTCTCAGCACGAACACATGATTTACGTGGAGCTTTCAGACCGAATTAGTGGCCAGAGGGTGAAAGAAGACACCAGCTGGGGCGCACACATGACTGAGGAACACCTCTCTGCAGACCTCAAGTGTAGAATAGGTCATACAAGAAACTGCTAAGAGAAAAAATAAATAAAAGAAAAACTCATGGGCTTATTCAATATAACTTTCTTGTGCATGTTGTCAGAAAACCTACTGGTGTTCATCCTGTGATACTTTATAGAGTATAAAACACATTTTTTTTTTTTGCTTGTTTTGTTTCAGATGTTGATATGAAAGCCAAACCTTGTGTGATGAGTGTAATTACCACTCCATAAGAGAGGAGGTAAACGCACAATTTTGATGTCCTTGTAATTTACCTAACAGCAAACCTTTTAATTTCCTGCTTTTCAACTCTTGCTCTCAACCCGCACACTTTCCATAAACACACAAGCATGAGTTTAAGCCAGACTGCTTTACTGTGTTAAAATAATAAATGTAGTAAAATATAAAAGTAAAAGAAGGGACCTTTTTATATACTTCAGAGGTAGTTCAGTGATTGTTTAGTGCTCCATAAGTGCGCATCAGGGTTATTGGGGCTCAGAGTTAGCACCATTTTGTTTATAATTGCTTTAATTAAAGATGCTTCCTCCTACCTCTCCTTCGCCTCCGCCGCTCTGTCTCTTTGCCGCCGGTTCTTGAACCAGTTGCTGACCTGTGTGGTGGTGAGTCCCGTGGCCTCGGCCAGCTCCCTCTTTTCCCGTGGGGACGGATACGGGTTGTGGGTGTACCACTCCCTCAAGACGCTCCGGCTTTTCTCCTTGAAGCAGTAGCTGGTCTCCTCTCCGTCCCAGATGGAGCGGGGCAGGGGGAACTTTCTCCGCACTCGATACTTCCCCACGGCCCCCAGCGGGCGGCCCCGCAGTTTCTCCGCCTCGATGTAGTGCGCCTTGAGCCACAGCTGCTGCAGCTTCGGGTGGTTGTGCGGAGAGAACTGGTGGCTCTCCAGGATCTTGTAGAGCTCTCGGAAGTTGCCCCGATGGAAGGCGACCACGGCTTTCGCCTTGAGGACGCTCTCGTTCTTATGGAGGTGCTCGCAGGCCGGTAGGGACCAGAGGAAGCGCCCCAGCCGCTCGATGTTCCCCCCTTGCTGGAGGACTTCGCAGACGCACGCAACTTGCTCCTGCGTGAAACCAAACGTCGGGAGCATGGACATGGCGACAACGCAAATCAGTGCAGATTAGATTGTGCCTCACTTCCAAGTCTCTTCTCTCAGTCTCTGATTAAAACCAAAGCGCATTAAGTCCACAAGTGTAAAAAAAAAAAGGTCCCAGCAGAGCAGCGAGTGGGAGCTGATCATAAAGTAAGGAACATCCAGCTCAGTGTCCTCTTAGCCATGCAGAACCCCGGGCGACAATTCCTCATGAAGTTATGGAGAAAGACACAACTGTGCAGCTCCTTCCTCCGACCGTCTCCACCTTTTCTGCGCTGCTTCCACACAAAACTACTCCCGGAGAGCAGACTCGCTGGCTCGTTTTAATAATATTATTCTAAGCTGGCAAGACAAGCGATTATATGAACTCTGATTGGTCGGTTATCTGACCCGGGGATGGCGAGGATAAGACAATAGCCTCAGTCAAATTATTTGCCATGGTTACGCTGTCACTCAGTGTAACCCGATCTGCTTTGAGGTGGCTCCTTGGCGAAGTCGAGCCGATTGTTCTCTGCTTGTCCAGCCCGCCCTCCCAATAGAAATATTGCTCAGATTTTTTTCCCCTCTTAAACGTTTTATTACTCTTCGCTTCGCTTTGACAGACACCTCGGGCAGCCAAAGAGCACGCTCTATGAGGAGGCGCGGGGGAAGGAGAACTGTGCTGCTCCTGAGACTGAAGAAAGGATGGCGCCAGAGCGCAGGAGCCCAAAGGAGCAGCTCGTTCTCCTCATGCACCTGGAGGCGCTCAGAAATCATCCAAAGATCCGTCACTCTAAGGAAAAAACAAGTCTGCTTCCTTATCGATTTGAAGAAATGGTTGAAAAAATAATATGTACATCTTGTTGCTCAGTAAAACAATAAAAACAAGAGAATAACCTGTCTGTCTGCCTGCATGCTAATGTGGCAAAAGAAAAAAAAAATTCAATAGCTAAAATATATTTTTCTACAATATTTAAAATAAATATATATAGGCCTATATATTTTCAAAGCTACTTCGATATACGTGACAACAGAGACACTGGATATTTAAATTAAGGGTGTATCATGGAGAGCAAGCAGCAGCTGCTTGAAAAATCTGGAGGTGTGCACCCGCTGGTCCTGATGGAGAAAGCAGCTCCAGTGAGCTGCAGACTCTGCAAAAGGAGAAAACTGACAGGATAAAAGCTGAGAGGAGAAAAACGACATCTGTCAACGGTGAAAAACGTTTGTATGGCTATAAAACAGAGATTAGGAAGTCACGAGTAATTGAAAGCAGGATCCTGAGGAACGTTGCAGGGTAAGATCTGATTACTTTCTACTACTTTTGCAACAGGGGTTCAAATAATAAAATGACGAGTATAAATATTGATAATGACAATAAAAAAAGATGAAGTTTTAGAAAATGCAACTTAGAGAGACAGGATAGATATAATAGAGAATGAAAAGGAAAAAAAAGGAAAACTTGGTTTACACTATAACTCAGATGGGCCTATAGCGGGAGCCTTTAACACACCAGGCGGAATTTCAGGAGCGTTATTGACTGTGGGGCCAAAGATTGACCCGCTGCTAGATTTGTATCGTCTAACCTTGGAACCTGTGTTTTACAGTTACTATTGTCAGCAACACAGGCGGGCGGTGTCACGTCACGGTTCCTCACCAAACGCACACTGACGCGCGCTCTAAACGCGCATTTCTGATGCTCCGACTGACCTCTGCAGGCACTGGCCAAAGGAATTCACAGACCGATAGGAACTTCTGTTGCTGATAAATGCATACAGTTTCCAACAAATAATAGCTTTATCTATTTATTTATTTATTTATTTATGTATTCATGTATTTATTTATTTGTTTATTTCTTTAATTTGGTGTGAAAAATGTATTTTTAAATTAACGTTAAGTAGGACAAAAACCTTGAAAACCATATTTCTTTTTGTTTTATTTATTTGTTTTTTTAAGAATCATGTTGTTCTCCAGGTAGTCTAACACATTAATACTTCTCCTTCGGTAAGGACCCAACAGGACGTGGCATTTAACTGTAATGCTAAAAAAAAAAAAAAAAAAAAAAAGATTTCGAGCGCAATTAGGAAACGCATTTATTACCTGTGACGAATAGTAATATAAGGAGAGCCTGATTCTTGCATGCGCCTAAACTGTCTTCTCCCTCTGTTTAATAAATTGTCTTGGTTTTCGCCTAAAGCGCAATTCAAGGGAATTAGGCTGATTAATGGGAATCGCCAAGGGACCATGGGTCGCATGATAGTGGATGTCTAAAAAAAAAAAAAAAAAAAAAAAAAAAAAAGCGCGGAGACTAATTTAATTTCTCTACATAATGTTTTTTAAATAAATAAAAAAGGCCTAAATAAATAAAGTAAGCCTATTTGGAACAATTAATGTAATTATTTCCCTATTATTATATTATAATTATCACTATTATTATTTTTGTTGTTACCTTTCTATGCGTAATGGACAGACCGACTGACCCCACTGATACGATCCAAAACATCGAAAAGACTTTCCCACTGATCAAGGAGTAACTGAAATTCACACTCTGCGCCCTAACACTTGCGTGCATCAATCATATGTTGCAAACTGTTTAAATGCGCCATTCAGATGATACATTTATATCTCATCCGCAGGGATGTGTTGCCTCCATCAATAAAACTGCGTTTCTGTTGAGAATGTAAGCAGAGGAGTCTCGCGTTTCATTTCATTTTTCTTATTTTTGTTGAACAACACTCATGTGAAAACATTCAAATAGCACATTCATTTCACCCAGCTTTCTAAGGTGATTTTTTTTTTGTGCAGAAATATGAAATTATTATAAAGTTTATTAGACATGTTTGATATTTAACAAATTCAGCTTAGTCGGATCCTTGTCAACCAATACGTTCCCAGCAAGAACGCGTCTTAAAGGGTATTATATAAGGCGACACATATATATATATGTGAATAAGTGTGTTGGGTTGTGCATATAGATAACTAACAGTATGTGAGTAGACCAGCAGGGACAGGGGTCCTGTGTCTGTCCCCTGACAGTGTTTGTAAACCTCTTGTTTCCACAGATCAGCCTGATCAGAGGGCTCTGGCTCTGAAACGGTAACTACCACAGCCGCTGATGAATGAAGATCACGTTTCCCCTAATAGCCAACCCCCTTTATTTTCACAACCTCCCACCGCTCACTTCAGCTACGCTGAACCACGTCCTCCACTAATTGAGCTGATTGTTGCAAGATGTGCATGTTTTGTTGTGTGTGCTTCACATAGATTAAGTGTTGATTCAGGCCTGTAAGAGTCTGATTTGACCATAAGACCATAAAAATAAGGCAACTCATATTTAAGTTGATTACTATCATTTTTTTTTTTTTTTTGGGGGGGGGGGTATGTTTTGCAGGGATTGGTAAAGCCTGGTGTTGTGTGGATGCTGGTAGGGGAAGGTATCAATGAGGATCTATTCAGTAATTGGCTGTTTACATCTATCTTGTTACCCCAGAGGCCAGGTAAAGATTTCAGCAAACCGCAAAGCTAAGCAGTCATGAAGGGACAGAGTACAGAGGTAGGCATGGTGCGCCTGTGTGAGGGTTTATTTCATAAAGGTTATGACTGGACGGCAGGTTCATCAGATTGGGGGGTTCAGATTCCTGCTTTGCAATTTAAAAGCATTTAAAAGGTGAGAAAAGATCACAATCGCCTGATGAGGACCATAGAACATAAACAACCACAGAAACCAGGGCTGTATCTAGATTTTTCTAAGTCAGGAGCCATATAGGGGGCAAGTTTAGTTTTCTTTCTGTAGTTCATGTTGTCATATTGAATTATAGTGTAACAAAAACTAGCAAAACAAAATAATCAGCCGTTATTTAAAAAATACTATATAAACTTACCAAATGTATATTTTTTTCAGTTGCACATTAAATTTTGGTACACTATCATTATTGGTGTTAAAACATTTTTTTTAGTACTGATGGTATTAAAATCAATGAGAAAAAGCATTAGTTTTCTTTAAGAACCCACCAGAAAGTCTTCACCAACCCACTCACTCCATGGTCTTGTTGTGGACAAACTAAATCAGGAGCAAACTGCAACAAGTGTCTGTTTTTCTACCAGGGCTGGCAATCGGGGCTGATGAGTAGCTGTGTCTGTCTTTGAGTGTTTACAGGGAGCAGGGAAAAGGGGTGGCAGGGTGGTGAGTGAGAGAAAAAGAGAGAGCATGGTGCTTGCTGCTCGCCTTAATTTATTCGATCAATCACTCCATTTGATTCTTGTTTATTTTCAGGAGTCGCACGGTCATTTCAGCTGCACACTGAGCCCTTTATGGACTGCCAAGGCGTTTCCCCCCTCCACCATGGAGACTGTATAGCATGCATTAGGCCGTAATTTAGAAAGAAGAGTGGTTCCAGCACTTCTCAGGTATTTAACGGTTCCTAACCTTTATAGTGAAATGGCCTGAGTCCTGTCTCTTGTCAAACTAATGTGCAGACATGCAGGTCAAAACTCTGATGTTCATCAGCACAGTGGGTCTGCAAAAATTACTTCAAATACCCCTAACTTCGAAATTACAATAATATCTATTATTTTGCATCTAGAATATAGAGAAAATAACAGATCCTTAAAATGCATTTTAATTTATTTTGCACAAGATGAAAAGTAAAATTATTGTGAATTAAGTTGTTTTGTTGCCTGAAACATGCTTGTTTTTAATACATCTAAATATTTTAAGGATAGAATTGTTATGGATACAAAGCAATTAGATAAATACCCTGATTTACCAGTAAACTACAAGCATAGATGGAGGTTAACTTGCTTCTGCTAATTTTGTTATGGCATGTGAGTAAGAAACTGTCGTGGGACCAATAGTCAAGATCAGATAAACCTCGGTCTGCTCTGCATCAAAGTGGCACAAAGGCAAGATGTATAACTAGATCATGATTACCAATTACAGTTCAAACAGCAAACAGATCAAGAAGTCTAAATTTCAGGATTCCATTTTTATTCAGTATTATGTTAAGTCAAATTCAAGAAATCTACAAGCATAAACCATAATTGTTTCTAATTGCTTGCACATTAGATTTTTTCATATTGTTCTGCAACATTCTTTATTTTTTTTGCAACATTTATTTATATTTTTGTTTTTCTTATGCCACATCCTAACCCTCACACATTGATGGGCAATGAAAAAAAAACTAATTTAAAGTAATTAGCAACATGCTAATACTTGAATTGTTATTAATTTCTGTATGCAAGCTTTTTACAACCAGTTGCGGTTTTACATGAAACACAAGACCTGACCCTGTGTCAGTGGCCATATGGGCTGTAAATACCTCTCTGATAGAGTCAGTGGTTGAGCTGATACTGTAAAAGAGTTTTGTGATACATCACATGATGGTGTTTTAAGTGCAAGTAGACAATAAGCAAGTCCTTACCTCTTGGTTTTAAGGGATTGCCTGTTCTCAGTGGTCTAAAGAAAATACAGAAGCAAGTATAAATGCTTTAAAAGTGTTGCGCAAATTAGCATATATGAACTGTTAAAGGATTCACAAAATTTATGAAATGGTAT